GTGGGAATCTCGTTAATCCTTTCATGCGCGTCCCTAATTAGATTTTGTTTTCCCCTGGCAGTTATTTAGATTTAAAAATAATTATTTCCGAAGAAATAATTCTTAATCTGGGGTGCTCGAAGATTGAACAATCCTCCTTCACCCCGCTCGTGGTGTAGAAATATGGGCTTAACATGAGAAATGGGAAATTAATGCGGACTAGGTATATAATTTTAAAAAGATCAAGAGAAAGTAATTGTAGACAATAAAAAGTGAATAGCAAAGTAATCTAAAACTAAACGGCCGATATCGGACAGATGGTCCATCAGGGCGGCGGGGATCTAAAAATCCGATGCCGAGAATTTAATGTGGGGGAAACGGGAGTACCCCGAGAAAACACACTTTCACTGGTAAGGACTGATCCGTTAGATTTCAAATCGATTTTTGTTTTTAAGGATATTAGATACCTTGGTCATACTAGGTGTAGTCGATGTGGTAATCCCTCCTCTAATACCATACATGGGTAACAAGCTTGGGTTGTTTGCACAATAATAATTTTTGTAATAGTTTCTGTCGTTGTGCCGATTATTTTTATTGTTTCGGTAAACCTAATGCAAAATTCAATTCTCTGAATGAAAAGGGAAAACAATTTTATTTTTAGTGAAAGTTTTACATCTTACACAGTTTCATAAAATAACGATAACTAAACGATAGGCCTAACTCTCAAATAAAACTAAAGTCAATTAAATTTCCTCTTATTTGTACGACACAAACTCAAAAATGTACAACACAAAACTGACTAACTCACTTTCTGAATAAATTTCTGATTAACTAACTCACTCTGGTGTTTTTATACATTATTTTCCCCAAACACAAACAATACAAAAACTGTATAATTAAATTATTAAAATCATTGCCTACGACACTATATGACTTAATGTCATGACTTCATGTTAACAACTTGGACCGACAATGAAAAAATAATTGTTTAATTTTAGTTCTTTTATAATGTTTGTTACATAATAAGTAAATTATCATTGTTTTATAGTACTGACTTAATCGTTTATTGACAATTAATATTACTGATAGTATTAGTTATATATGCAAACATGCTAAATAGTGTTGTTTTTTCTAGCTCAGCTACGTGAACACTTTTTGTTCACCAAAAACTTCCTTTTTTCCGCACAGTGTGTTGGAGTGTATGTATATATTTAACAATAGAGTTGACTACGAAACTTGGTTAAGCTGCTGCTGCTTTAGTAACAGATGGTTCTCAGTCACTATTCTTCGGTGTCACATGCACGTTATCAAAGGAAAAATTGCGGTAGTATAATACATAGTTGGAATGTACTGTGTAGTTATTAGCAGCATTAACTATCAGGAAATCTTGTTATATTTCGAGGATATGTTTTATTTTTGGTATTATCAAAAGTGGTGTGCTTGTGCCTGGGAGAAATGGCACTATTGTATTTCGTATATAGCACGATTCTCTATCCTTCTGGGCCAAACGATCTTCAGCCCTTCAATCAATGTAGAAATATCTTGTTCTGAAGCTAATAAAACAACTATCTAGAATCATGTGTACTTGTCCACTTTGATTCCCGTTGTTGTTTAATAAAGATAACTGTTCACTCTGTTTTTACATTGTGTGTTATCTTTCTTCAACTCGGTCACAAATCTATATTTGCTTCTTAATAAATTTGTCAATTTGCATATTATTACAATTTTCTCTTAGAAAATCGGTGAAACTTGAGTTACAACTGAATGAATTAGCAAGCTAGAAGTTTGTGAGTGTAACCACAAGACCTGATATTGAAGAATTCCCTATTTTTCTGTGCAAATGTATTTCTTTGTATTCTTAGTTCTTGTGTGTTGTAAGTTCATAAATTTTAGTACAATAAGAAATGGCACTTTCCAGATTTGAAGAACTTGTAATAAAAAAAAGTTCATCACTGATGTTAAACAGCTGTCTGTGAGAGTAATTGCATGTAGAAGCCCTTTACTGGATGTAGGACTTTTGCTAATGTTACCAAGGTCTATAACGATCTTTTCTGCAGCCAAAGATTCAGGTAGGACTGTAGCCTGGGATATATCGAACTACTCGTTGGATTATATGTCTTAGGATCAGTCTCTCTACATACAACATGGTTGAATGAGGAATTCTTTAGTGATTTGCAGTCTGGTGCCTCTTGAGACTGAATGGGAAGTTTCTAGAAGACTCCCAGACATCTATCAATTAAGGTAGTCCAACCCAAATCCTGGTTGTTGCAACATGCGACCAGCCAAATGAGATTGAAGATGCAGGTGGTGGATAATGTCTACCGTTTGTCAGTGTTTCAAATGAAGATGATGACCTGTTGGTCAGTCACATGCTTTCCCATGATGGGAAGCATGTCGCTGGTGTGGCAATGGGTTATGGAGAAGCTGTGGTTGTGCAAAGCCCATGAATAAGTGCCCCTGGTAACTCGTCATCCTACCATCTAGGTAGGGATCTATTTTTCGTTTGAGCGTGGAAGTCCCTAGGTGTGCTCACTAACCTGTGCTACTAACATTTTGTGTCTCGGCATATTGTTGGCCAAGACTCCATGGGAGAAAGACTGTAACACCATCAAAAGTATGAGTGATATGAAGCTGATATTTTCTTATTTAAGAAGGACTTGGATAATTTCCCAAACATTTCAAGTGGGTTACTGCTTGAAAAAACTGGATTCTGTATTAGGTGGTGCAACATTTGATGTTGAATCAGAAGAATTTGAAACTTAGTCAATCGAGAACCTGAATGAGTAGCAAATACACTCTAAATGTTGCTTCTAATAAATAAGTTAAATGAAAGAGTATCGAGCAAATTGATGCGATATCACCTTGATGT